GTTATGAATCGTAATGTAAGTATCTGATATGCAGGATGTATTTTCATTGTTACAAATTGAACATAATTAAAGCATAGTGATTAATCACAAAAACAATATGTAATTATATATGTGTTTTCTGATGGTCTTAAGCGACCCCTGTGAAAGGGTCGTTCGACCCCCAAAGGGGTCGCGACTCACGGGTTGAGAACCGCTGGTTTAGAGGTTGAGAAAGAAGCACCAGACTTAGGAGCTTTAATGAGCTCACTTGGCTCTCTGGTTATCTGCTCCACCTTGACGGCCAGGCAGATGGGGAGGTGTCGCTGTCATCTGTCTTCATGTTTCTAACCCTCCACAGGACACTGCACAGTGGGCACCGTGGGGACCTCCCAGCGGCCAGCCCTGCTATTTCTCCCATGCTGGCTGCTTCTCTGCCCAGATTCCGGCACACCCCCAGGGGGGTTGGCGGCTGGCACGGGTCCCAGCTCATGGCCGCCTGCCTGCCCCCTGGCTCTTTGGAAAGGGAAAATTATTTGTTGTGAGCAGGTTCGGCTGAACAAGGGATGTTTCGGGGGTCTGGGCGCTTGGAGTCCATGCCTCCTCCTGCAGGCGTCCTTCACACCGTGTAACTCGTCCGCTCCGTGCCCTTCAGGGAGCATGATCCGGAGGCTGGGAGGTGTGGACTGGTCTGACCACCCGTTTGCTCTGTTTTGTGATGGGGCTGGCGGCTGAAGCTCCACGCTTCTCCTTCTACAAGCCGCCTGAGGTCCTGGCCTGTGGCCTGTTTGCTGCTGGACCCAGCGCCCGGCACATCGCAGGTGCTCACATACTTCTTCTGGAAACGAATGCGTAAGAGAAAGCAAGTAAGGCACGTGTGGCCGGTGGAAAGGGCACAGAACTTCGTCAGAGCACTGGGTTGGCTCTCAGCTTGGCTGCTCAATGCTCCATGGAGGATAACCTTTCGGAACCTCAGTTTCCTCATCTGTGAAATGGGGACGATCATACTTGCCTCTTAGGGCTGCTGTGTGGTGAGATGATGTAGCAAGTGGTGTGGCTCTGGGCTCATGGAAGGTTTTGGGGTTCTTTGCTATTTAGTGGAGAGTCCCAGGTGGTTTGTCAAGGGTTGAGACCTTGGTCCCCAGCATTTGGCAGACATGGGGTTCTGGGAGAGGGGTAAACCAGCTTAGGGGGGGCCAAGGCAGGGTCTGGCACAGGAGCATTCTGGATCCCAGCGTGGCATCTCCTGCCCTGAATTCACTCCACGAATGAGGCCTACACCGTCCTCACTGGGAGAGGTCTAGACTGTCACGGAGGTGTCCTCGAGGGCAAACCCACTGGGATCACATTGAACCGTGAAGTTCAGGAAAGTGAAGGTGGGGCAGTGGGTAGGAATCCCTGCTTCTAGCACCACCTAGGGGGGAGTCTGGCGCTGGCCTTAATTAATTAGGCAAATCATATCATACTTGCCTCTTAGGGCTGCTGTGTGGTGAGATGATGTAGCAAGTGGTGTGGCTCTGGGCTCATGGAAGGTTTTGGGGTTCTTTGCTATTTAGTGGAGAGTCCCAGGTGGTTTGTCAAGGGTTGAGACCTGGGTCCCCAGCATTTGGCAGACGTGGGGTTCTGGGAGAGTGGTAAACCAGCTTAGGGGGGGCCAAAGCAGGGTCTGGCACAGGAGCATTCTGGATCCCAGGGTGGCATCTCCTGCCCTGAATTCACTCCACGGGTGAGGTCTACACCGTCCTCACTGGGAGAGGTCTAGGCTCTCGCGGAGGTGTCCGCGAGGGCAAACACACTGGGATGACATTGAACCGTGAAGTTCAGGAAAGCGAAGGTGGGGCAGTGGGCAGGAATCCCTGTTTCTAGCACTTCCTAGGGGGGAGTCTGGCGCTGGCCTTAATCAATTAATTAGGCAAATCACGTGACCTGGGCTTTATTTTTCTGTTTTCTAAAACGGAGGGTGTGTGGCTACTGGGGAGTTGTTCCAGATCTGGTGTCACCTTTTTCTTGTTCTGGTCACGACCACAGGACAGATGGCATTCACATATGCAGCATATCCTCAGGGGGACACACAGATTTTGAGAAATCTTCCAAAATGTTGTGGGGGAACGAAGGCAGTCAACATTCTGAAATCACTGCTGAGATCAGCAGGTGAGCAAAGCTGCTTTCTCCCGTGGGCCATGGCGGGAATAGGATTGGCCGGAACTGTGCGTAGTCTACACAAGCGCATTGCCTATGGTGTCTCTGCCACCTGAGTCGGCGTCTGAGGATGTGAGTGAAGAAGCTGTTCTTATGGGGTGGCCGTGATCCTGCCTTATTTTCTGGAGGAAGTCTTGGTTCTCAATCTCGGATTGTTGGCCAGTAGGAGCCTATTTCTTGCGACACAACTCAGGACTGATCGTGACACACACATTTGTTGTGAATCAGAGCAAAGGATGAGTGGGTCAGATGTTTGTAGAAAGGGTCTCTCGGCTTCCCAGGCTGGTTCTGTTGATTCCACGTGTGCCTAGGACTTGTGAAGACAGAGAAATTTGACCCGACAGCAGGCTGTTATCATGGAGTGGAGAAAAGGGGGAACCCAGAGGCAAAGAATTCATTCTCAAAACCTTCTTTGCACCTGGCTGGTGCGGCTCAGTGGTTGAGTGTCAACCTACAAACCAGGGCTTGAACTCAAGTCTGACTAATCCCAAAATCTTGATTTTAAGGGTATTCAAATAACCTGAATATTTGTTCAAGAATCACTATCACTGCCCTAGCTGGTTTGGCTCGGTGGTTGAATGTCAACCTATGAACTAGGAGATCAGGGTTCAATTCCCAGTCAGTGCATCATTCACAGCCTTTGTGGTCAATGATCACAGATGAGTTACCGGGGTTACTTATGTCCAGATCCCTGAGACATCCGTGGGCCCAAAGTTTCCATTCTGGGCACCCAAGGCCCCCATTCTGAGTGTTAAGCCCCAAATGAGCACAAAATTGTGTCCTCCTTCGTAAACAGGAATACGAAATCCTTTTTGTCTATTTGGCTAGATCTAAGCTTGTATGTATTCTTATGATCTGTCTCTAAGGACATATGGAAATGGACAGGTCCAACGCTCACTGGCCCGGGAAGGGGTAATAATCTCCCAGGGTTTGCAGAGTGACCAGCTGGTGCCCAGGGCACGTGATGACGGGTAACAACAGAGCTCTCGTTCATTTTCCTAAATGAGAAACAACTTCTTCCACGTACCTTTCTATGAATGTCTCCAGGTTTTGGGAAGATGCGCCTGAATAAGAAAATAGTTAAAGTTAGGGAGCTCAGTTCAACACTGTCAGGATGAGAGTGTGATTGTCTGAGGTCACGGGAGAAGCATCACGGAAGAGTCAGAGGTCGTCCACACCGTCGTACTGATGAGTTCCCCCTGGGACTCCCCTTAATGGCTTTCTTGTTTCCTTGGCATTCTATTGACATAACCCCAAATTTTTTGGATTTACAGTTCTCAAGACATTTCCTAGCGTGAATGAGTGAACTTGCTATGGGTGTAAGGATATCTATCACCAGAGAGAAACTACTTTTGGGAAGATGCGCCTGAATAAGTAAAATTAAGAAAACAGTTAAAGTTAGGGAGCTCAGTTCAACACTGTCAGGATGAGAGTGTGATTGTCTGAGGTCACGGGAGAAGCATCACGGAACAGTTCAGAGGTCGTCCACACCGTCGTACTGATTGATGAGTTCCCCCTGGGACTCCCCTTAATAGCTTTCATGTTTCTATTGACAGAACCCCAAATCCTCTCCAGACATTTCCTAGAGTGAATGAGTGAGCTTGCTAGTGGGTGTAAGGAAAGGGGATATATCTATCACCAGAGAGAAACTACCCAAAGATTCAGGAATGAGCTGAGGGAGGAGAGGAACAGTAGGAAGGATTCTTTGAGAACTACCCATCTCCCCAGAGAGCCCTGTGAAGAGCCAGCTGGCATTTCTGCTCACTCCTGAGGCTCCCCCTGCTGGCTGGGCTGTGCAAGGTTCAGATTGTAGAGCTGACATATTTCAACTCCTGTAATGACATGCACGACCACCCTCCCCCCGCATCCCTGTTACGCCCTGTAACGTATCTCTTACAGGAAAGTCGTGGTTATTGGGTTCTCATATTATTTCAGACACGCTGTTAAGCGCTGTATTTATTAGTTCATTTAGGCCTTAGCACACCTGTGTGAGGTGGGCACGCTAGGAGCCCCATTTTGTAGATGAGAACACTGAGGCTCACTTAAGCGACTTGCCCAAAGCCACACAGCGATGAATCTGGAGAACCGCAATCCAAACCCTGCCCCTTCTGCCCGCAATGCTGAGCGCTGGCTCCCTGAGTGGCATTGCTTCTCTAGGCTGGGGGGCTAGAAAGAGTGAACCCAAGGAGGGAATTGACAGAGCAGTTGGACATGGCCTTTATCCCCGGGCAGTAACGTCTCTGGGGTAGACACACAACTGAGAACTGGTGTGAGCTTTAACGCAAATCTCACCCCAGTGCTTGGAAAGAGGAAAACCCAGTGTGACTCGAGCCTGTCTCTGCTCAGAGAAGGTGCCACGTCGAGTCCTAAACGTAGAGACTCAGAGTGTTTCTGGGTGTGAGGTCGCTCCCTGTTGTCCTCACGAGTGAAGAGTCGGAGGGCGGCCCCTGCGGGCTGGCATGGCACCCACCATGGCTCACTCATCTGCTCAGCTGGGCCCTGCAGTCCCATGATCTCAACTTCCCACTTTTAGTAAGATTACACATCAAGAGGTGTTTCATTCTCACTCTTTGATTTGTGTGTTAATGAGACACGAAAACTAATGAAAGCTCAAGGCACGAGTGGGAAACATTAAAGGACCAGGTCAGGCCAATAATCTTCCTCATTATCGGGAGGACGGCTGGGATTTGAGGTGCGGTCACCTACGGAGCTTGAAGGGACGGAAATGAAAACCTGCCATGGTGAGCCTCGGGGCCAGCCTCTCCCCGTGCCCACACCACCTGTTCCTCTGCCGCTCAGACAGGATGGCCAGCCCAGGGCACCTGTCGCCATGGATTTAAAAACAGCAGTCACAGCCCTGGCTGGTGTGGCTCAGTGGTTGGGATGTCGACCCATGCACCAAAGGGTCACCGGTTTGATTCTTGGTCAAGGGCATGTACCTGATTTGCAGGTTCTATCCCTGGCCCTGGTTGGGGTGTGTGTAGGAGGCAACCAATCAATATGACACATCAATGTTTTCCTGCCCTCCCTCCCTTCCACTCTCTAAAAATCAATGGAAAAATATCCTCAGGTGAGGATTAACAACAACAAAAAACCAGCAGTCACAAACATCCACTCAGGGGAGAGGACTTGCCTACTTGTCTTTACCCAATGTTTTTTGTGGTGTGTTTATTTCTGGTGGGTCTTTATAATGCAAGCACCGAATTTTCTTTGCTCCAAAGTTGTTGCATCTTTCAGGATTCCCATCTCCTCTTACAAAGCTCAGTTGTTGAGATCATGTCATTAGTTTATGTAATTCCCACCTCCCTTTCTCCTCTCCGTTCCCCTTTCCTGCGGTGCTGCTATCCCTTTGCCCGTCAACATATCTGTCTGCTCCCATCTCTACAGTCTTCCTCCTGCTGCCGACTGTGCTGTGGCTGCTGCTACCGTTACAGAGAAGACTTCCGGAAGCAGCTGGGCCGAGGTGCAAGCAGGAGAGAGCCCCAGCCTGCGGAGGTGGGAAAGCGAGGCGAGCATTTGAAGAACTGGCACTACCCTCAAGAGGCTCATTCTCTGGTCTCTACAATGGAATAGATTGACTATGAAACAGGGCACAGTGGTCCCATGGGGAATTACCTGTCCATAATTAGAGAAAGAAGAGGGACCTTATTGGCCACTAAAGTCTGGATTCTGCTTCATCCTGTCCCTTTTAAATAAGGAATAGTGTGTCCTAGCTGGTTTGGCTCAGTGGATAGAGTGTTGGCCTGCAGACTGAAAGGTCCCAGGTTCGATTCCGGTCAAGGGCATGTACCTTGGTTGCAGGTACATCCCCAGTGGGAGGTGTGCAGGAGGCAGCTGATCGATGTTTCTCTCTCATTGATGTTTCTAACTCTCTATCCCTCTCCCTTCCTCTCTGTAAAAAATCAATAAAATATATATTTAAAAAAAAAAGAAAATGTGGTGTCATGCATTGACCTCAAATCCAATACTGTTACTTAACTCTGATTAGATTTAAATTAATGCAGATTTTGCTCATTTTTCAGCATTTCTGAAGCATTTTGAAGAGCATGATTGATAGAATCAAGTTAAAGAATTAGCCATGAGAAACTTGAATTCCGTCGTTTCTCTAAAAATGTTTGCTTGCAATAAGCAGACACATTCAGACTAATATATTGACCATGAGCTCAAAATAGTGGGCCCTTAATAATTGTTTGTTGCGACACTTTCTGATGATGTTTCCACTACTGCAAATGCTTTCAAATTCGTAAGCGTGGTTCTGAATTTATGTGACAAAGCAGATAAGTGATTGTCCCAAACATTCATTTTTAAAAGAATGTAATAGCTTCCCAGTGTCACTCTCATCTACCTCCTACTCCTTCTCTTCCCAGAGGTGGTTTTGCCCCGGGAGCCTCTATGCCCTGAGCCACCATCTCCCTGGGCTTTCTGGACTCCTGTGTTTTTCCTGCAGGGCTCTCTGCTCACATGTGCCTCCCTGTGATGTTTCCCGGCCCTTCTCCAGGCAGAGGTGTGCGTCCCTCACTTCCAGAGGCTCCCGCCTGCCTGGTTAGTGTCAGGGCCGCCTCAAACCCCCCCCACCGGCCGCTTTGGTGCCCTGGAAGCTGTAAGAACCCCCTGCTTTGCTGGTTGTAAGGACTGAGCAGGGGCCTTGCTGTGCCCGAGCCCCGGCCAGAGAACTGGCGCCCAGATGAAAGGCGACTTCGACATCTGACATTTTAAAATGCTCTCTAACCACTGGCAGACATTGTTGGGATCTCGTGCCTAAACATCAAGACTAAAATAAGCTGTCTCTTTACTTCTGACTTCATGATTTTCCAGAAACACTTTCATATTCCACTCACCTCTTCCTTCCCTCCTGCCTTTCTCGGCGCCCAGATGAAAGGCGACTTCGACATCTGACATTTTTAAATGCTCTCTAACCACCGGCAGCGGCTCCTGGTAGAGATAGCTACAGACACTGTTGGGATCTCGTGCCTAACATCAAGACAAAAATAAGAGCTGTCTCTTCACTTCTGACTGCATGACTTTCCAGAAACACTTTCATATTCCACTCAACTCTTCCTTCCCTCCCGCCTTTCTCCCTGGTAATGAAAACTAAGTATAGCCATAAAGATGCAGACTACAGAGAGCCGATTCTCCCTATAGCCACGGAAAGCCTTGGGGAGTAATGGAAATCGCTTGGCTCGGGGATGAAAGAAAGAAAATCCATAGTGAGGAGGAGCCCCGAAACCAGGCCGAGGGGCTGGAGAAGAAACCCGAGCATTAAATAATGAGTAACTTGGAGAAACTGGAAAAAAAAAAAAAGTCCTCTTAGAATTACATCCATACAGCAATAGTCAAGTAGCACCGCAAGGAAGTGACACTAGACAGAGTCTCCTCTCTGCACCTCTAAGGACTGCAAATACGAAGAAAGGAAACAATCTCTCCTGACCTCCGGGAATCTGTTCATCAGCAGGAGCCTGACGGGAGCCACAGGTTGGGATCACATGTGAACACGTGTGTGTTTTCCCGATTAGGCTTTCTGCCTACTCCTTCCCCCTTCCTCTCCACAATCTGCACCTTCAAGGAGGCTGTGAAGGTGGCCGACCACGGAAGGAGAAGGCCTGCTGGGGTGTGCCGTGTGCTCTCTGCGGTCTTCCCCCGCCGTTCGGGTTTCACAAAGGAGCGCTGTGCTCAGGGTGAGGGGGTGGGTGGGATGGAGGGGTCTGGGGGAGAGCAAGGCTGTGTCCCGGGCACACGGAGCCTGCGTCTGGGTAGAACCTACTGCTCTTTTTTGTCCTTAACTCGATTCCCTCAGCTATGGGCTTAGCAGGCCCTTTACTGTTCCTAGACTCAGTTTCTGTCTATTTTTTGGGTTTTTTTTTGTTTTGTTATTTGATGTGGAAAAATAAAATATTTGGGAAATAGAAAAAACAATCACCCATAATTTATGAAACACAACAATTTTGGTGTATTTTCTACCTATCTGTGTCCAGCTGTTTTTCTCTTTCATCTAAAACAATGCAGTAGAGAATAAATATTCAATCCAGTTTTCCATCCTGGTTTTTCTTTTGGCAGTGCTATGTCTTTCTAAACAAAAACACGTGAACTTTTAAGCATCCTTTTGCAGGGCTGCGTAATATCACACACGGGCGTGTGTTCGTTTTTTACGGTCTCCATGGGCAGGGGCCTTGGGCGGCATTGGGACGGTTTAAAAAGCAAGAGAGAAAATGCAGCACGAGGCCGACAGTCGCTGTGCCTGCGATGACTCACACCGGCCTCGGTGCTTCCTTTTCCATAGACTGGCTGTGGGCTGTGTTCACACCCGGAGAGGCGAGGCCCATCGCTCAGTAGCCGGACTCTCCAATCAGAGACCGCTGCTGGGGTCTGAGCGCAGGGAGACAGCCTGGCGACACACCCCAGCTCTCGCCCCTTGCTCTCTCTGTGTTCTGGGACAGGGCTCTTGGTCCCCCCGGGCCTCTGTGTCCTCAATGATAACAGTGTGAAGGTCATTATACTCCCTCAATTCTGAGAAATAGATCTTATCACACTGACTACTGGGTTGAGTGCTGCATGCCACGTGTGCACTGTAGTTCTCCCTCCCTCGCCACTCCCCAGAGCTATTCCAATCAGCGGTTGTCCTCATCCTGAAGAAATCGAACAATCCTTGCCTTATCGCTTGTTGAAAGGATTAGCTGAAATATTATACAGAGAGTGTTCTTAGCACGTGGCAAGAGAGCAATAACTATCAGCTATCATTTTATTAGTGGTAATGCTACGGCGTGATTCTTGGAATAGAACACTTATTCCGTGTAGAATATGTAAGAAATTATTTGTAGGTTATGTATTCCATTAGACGTTGTGCTATAGTCCGGCCCTCCAACAGTCTGAGGGACAGTGAACTGGCCCCCTGTTTAAAAAGTTTGAGGACCCCTGGCTTAGACGTTGTACTGCTTGGAACATTCCTTACCACTGTTGTTACTTAGAGACGGCACAGGGATGGTAAGTAGGTTCCCCTTCATGTGCCAAGCCTGCTCTGCGGATGAGGATGGTCAGAGCTGCGCGCCGTGAGAGCTGTGAGGCGGGATCTGGGTGGAGCCCACCAGAGAGCCACAGTTGATGAGTAACATCTCCCCTGGGCACTGGGCCTGCCGTCTCTGCATCCTGGTGTCACAAGACATTCCTTGGCAACTCCTTCGGCTCTGGCCAGGCCATGGCTTATCAGTGAGGGGTTTCACTGAGCCTTGTGGCAGTGGACTGACCTGGGGCTGAGGCGGGAGGCGAGGACCACACAGGGGGAAGCCGTCCGTCTAAGGATGTGCTGGGACACAGGGGAAGCTGGCGGAGACTGCGAGTCCCCCCATCGTTCTGAGGACACGTTCCTTTGCTTAATGGCTTCGGGGGTTTCAGCCACAAACACTAAGCTGTTTTTCGTCAAACTCCCACCCAGTTAAAAGGTGGGAGCCTTTGTACCAGAGGGGAGGGCAGAGTCTTTGCAACGACCTTGATGGTGCTTAGTTCTCGTCCTGCTGATGCTCAGTGAGGTCTTGCCTCCTGAGCCTCGGACGCCCTGCACCCGGGCCTCCCTGGAGCATTGCTGTTGGGTGACTGTCTGTCTTGATTGCATCTTGTTTTGTTTGGTATCTGTCTGCCCCTTCGTCTATATCTTAACTGCATCTTGTTCCTTTCGCTGCAGGGAAAAGGCTCTAAGCCCCCGGTCCCTCTATCAGAAAGGGAGATGTTCATTTCATCCCGTGGCCTTGTCACTAATTCTCAGCTTTTGGTGCTTGTGAAATAAAATCCGTCAGTCAGGGCACACAGGTGAAGGCCGAGTGTGGCCACCTACCGTTTTTTGAAATATTCTGGTAGTCCCGGTGATTGCAGCGGTTCCTTTTCCGTAAGTGAAGGTAGATAGAGTTTTCTTTAATTCTGAAACAAACACATACATGTATGCTTAATGCTGGGACATTCACATGATCAAGTACAAACACACACGTTTTTATTTTGAGTTTTTAAAATGGAGTGAGAATGAACTCAGACAATCACATCTCTATCGCTGTGTTTTTCTCCAAACGGTCACTGCCTAAGTTGTCACAGGAAACAGTCCTATAAACAATTGCATGGATGTGGAAAGATCAAACTTTTTTTCTTACGGAGACCTTTGTAACCTTTTTACCCAAAGCTGCTCTAAGTCTCTCGAACAATTGGCTGTCTTTATCATCTCTGCATTTTAAACTTGGCTATGTTCCCTTTCTTCTCTCAGTTGCTATGAAGCTGTGGCAGACACTCTTGTCTTTCAGATCCATGTCTCCCTTTTGTCCGTTTTCATGGACATTTTAGTAGGACACAGGTCTGCCCAGAACGATGGCTGCTTTCCCAGCTGCCCTTGCAACTAGGTGTGGCCACTCCACTAAGTTCTGGGCAATGAGGTGGAAGTGGAAATGTTTAGCAGCAGTTTCTGGGGATACTAATATTTCTTAGACACAATTGGCAGGTTTCTTTGCTCTTTCTTTGTCCTGTTTAGTCATTCTGCTGCCCAGAATAGGAATGCTGCCATTTTAGGCTGTAGGGGTAAATTCTACCCTGGGAAGGTAGGGGGTGAGCTGGAAGGACCCTGGACCCCAAGGAGCAGTGAACTTGAGCTCCCATACCTGACCTGGATTGCACATCCCCGAACTTTCATGTTTGAGAGAAATAAACTCATGTATTATCTTATTTAAACTGCCCTATGTTGAGTCTCTCTGTTACTTGTAGCTGAATCTAAAACCAATGGACACAGAGTTTAGAGACAAATGTGTGACCAGCATCAGGCTATAATTACACCTATTTTAAATCATTTTCTTGGTTCCTCTTTGTCCCATCTTTGATTTTTCTATGTTCTTTTGCCACGTTTTAGTTTAATTTAAATGCAATTTAATGTTATATTCTCTATAGTGTTATAGGCTTCCTAAACTCCTTCTTGAAACAGACCAGGTATAAACTAATGAATAGTAATTAAACTCAGAAGTACTTGATCACCCCTGACACCCACATGGGGAGATGTAATAAAAATAATTGTTGTTATAAGCCACTAATGTTGGTAGCGCCTTGTTATATAATGACTAGAGGCTCAGTGCACAAAATTTGTGCATGGGAAGGGATCCCTCAGGCTGGCCTGCACCCTCTCCAATCCGGGACCCCTCGGGGATGTCCGACTGTCAGCAGTCGGACATCCCTCTTGTAATCTGGGACTGCTGGCTCCTAACTGCTTGCCTGCCTGCCTGCCTGCCTGATTGCCCCTAACCACCTCTGCCTGCCAGCCTGATCTCCCCTAACTGCCCTCCCCTGCCGGCCTGATCACCCCCTAACTGCTCCCCCCTACTGGCCTGATTGCCCCTAACCACCTCTGCCTTGGCCCCTGCTACCATGGCTTTATTCAGAAGGACATCCAGAAGATGTCCGGTCTAATTAGCATATTACCCTTTTATTAGTATAGATAGACAACCAGGTGGAGGGTTACAGAATTCTAGGGAAAAAGCACTTTCCCTCAGATGTTTGAAGGGATCCATTGGTGCCTGGTCTTATGGTGCTGTTGTCTGAGCTGTTCTGCTCCTTGATCCTTTGAGAATCTGCGGCAGCATCTCATTCCCAGTGTTCTAAAATGCCACGGTGACAGGCTGGGATGGCTCTATTTTCATTCACAGTGTGAGACACTTTTAACCTGGAAATTCATGTCACTCAGTTCTGAGAGGTGTTCTTCTATTACTTCATCGCTGTTTTCTTCTTCCTTTTTTTTTCTTAGAATCCCTCTTATTAGGATATAGAGTCACCTAGACTGATCTCTAATTTTCCTAGTTTTCTTTTCTGCCCCATCTCCCATATCTTTGTCTTTTGCTTTATTTTCTGGGTGATAGTCTCAATGTTCTCATTCTAGGAAAATCATCTTATGTCACTAGTGTAATTTCCAAGGGATCTTTTTTGTTCTTTGAATGTTTCTTTAAATTTAGCACAAAGTTCTTGTTACATCATTGAAATAGCTCATCTTTTTGAAGATATTAATTTTTAGTTACTTTTATAAGTAGTATATTAACTAGTGTTATTGTTTTTTAAATCCCTAGTATACAAAGTTATAGTCCGTTTCCTTAAGGTTGATTTTTCTCTTTGCTTTTGTACTGTCTTTCACATTCAAGGTTTCCCTCAGATATCTATGGTCTTGGGTTGTTTGTTGGCTTAGAGTTAAAAGTGGAAACTGGTTGGAAACGAAAAGCTGGTTGGAAAGAGAGCCCCTGGGTGGGGCTTGCTGCTCTGGTCCTCACCAGTGGCTGGCCGGGCCTTTCTCGGGGAGCCCCTGCTGTCCGTGTCTTTTGGGGGCTTTCCTCTTGGGTGTGCAGATTCCTCAGGAAAGGATCTTCCGGTCTCCAGCCAGGTTGCCCACACTCTGGGTTGGGAGGTGTGTGGGCCTCAGCGGTCAGCATGCATGTGATTTACTAGGGTGTCCCTCTCCTGACTCATGTCCAGTGTCTCCCAATCTAGAAGCCCTTCATCTCAGCCTCTCCAGAGAAGAAACCCCTAGGCTTATCCCAGATCCAGTGAGGGCTTCTCCGCCCCCCCTCCCCACCCCGGGTGGAGTTGGGAAGAGATCTGAGGTTCTAGCTGCAACCTTTCAACCAATACTTCTGTGTGTAGCAGCACCCCTACTTCTGGCGCTACCATAGGTAGCTGATTCCCAAGTCTTCTAGAGGTCCTGCCAGGTAAGCGGGTTGCTTCTCCCCATTCCCTCCTGCCAGCTTAGGATGACCGTGCCTGAGTGGGCGCAGTCAGGGACCACTGGCCTTCTGCTTTCTGGCTCCCAACAGGTTGAGGCTCTTTGTCCTTGTGGACAAACTCATTTGCTGCCATTATAGATGGGCTTCCCAGGGGAGAGAAGTCTGCTTCATTACCCAGAAGCCCGAACTCTACAAACTGCATTGTTTATGACCTCTGCCTTGCTTATTTTATTCTAGTTTGAAAAAAAAAAGATGGGAAAGGGACATCAGATTCAAATTTAATACTAAAATAATTTCACGGTCAATAAAGAGGGGCTATTTTCCTTTGGGAAAATAATTGTTACCATACCTATATTTTTGATAATTCTAAAAACAAAATTTATGGACTGAAATATTGTTTTGCTCATGCCCTGCTCATGGAGAGTAAATAGTGTGGATACTGAATTATGGATAGGGTTAGTTGCACCGTATCTTCTTATTACAAGAACATAGAAATCTTTACCATAGGTGAATGAACATTCTGATCAGAAACAGCATCTAAAATGTTGGGATTAAGGTTTTGTATGAGGCACTAGAAAGTATTTCATATAATCAAAGACACTGTTTTCTTTTATCTCCACCTCAAGTACATAATCTCTCCTGTAAATTCTAGGAATTGAATTTGTCAGGGAGTGCTCAGGAGAAGATAGAGGGATCGATACAATATTTTGAGAAGCTTATAACACAATATTTTGAGATGACTACAAATTGAGAAGATTGCTTAATAGAACATTACCTGTAGACAGGGTCAGCTGACCTTGAATTAACAGGATAAACAGTGTGCACAGGAAGGCCTACTGTGACCACCTTTCTGGTTTTGAATCCTCCTCCGCTTGCTCCCCTATCCTTAGTTGAACTCAGGGTCCCAGTCTGATTTTGTTTGTTTCTCTCCTTTTCCTCTGTTTTGCTTCAAAGCCCAGTCCCATGGGCTAGTAGGCGAGGCGATGGCTTCAGTCTGTAATCTGAGGGGTGCAGATGAGGAGTATAGAAAGTTCTCGTCCTCACACCTCCCCCGATGACTAAGGTGCTGGTGACGGCAGCACAGGGAGTGGAATTGCAAGTACTAGTATACCCGACTAAATCCCGGATTTTATCAGCTCCATCTACTGTGGGGCCCAGAAGTACAGCCTTCCATGTGAGGACACGCAGGTCAGATTTTGCTTTTTAAGACTAAAATTCAAAATAGGTAAGTCTCAGACACCGTGTCTACTAGTTGCTTAGTTGCTTTTCCCAACATGGGCTCAGGTAACACCAAAAACCACTTTCTCTGAGAGACGTCTAATCCCACTCCCCTTCCATGTCACTATGATGGAAAGAAAGACAAAATAAAAAAAGAATAAAATCAAGGATGAGCCTCGAGAGTAAAGCAGACAAATGAAAGTGGTTGACTTGGAACGGAAAACATGATCTCCTCCTACGTTGACTCACAGCAGAACCTACTTGGAGAGAGGCAACTCAGTAGCTTCCCAGAGGCTTAGCAGGTCGGAGGTTTTGGGACAAACCAAGTGGGATGTTGTTCAAGCGACAGTGATGTACCAGGTGCTGGTGACTTTTCTGAGGCCGGGGCACAGCTAGTTTGGGTTTAAATTCTGAGGTGCTATGAAGTTGAATCTCAGGGAATCCGTCACAGAACTGACAGGGGCTCAGAAGGCTAGCAGCAGGGCCAGAGAGAGGAAAATGGTGATATTTGCTGTGAAGGGTTAGGGCAGGGGAGTGGTTAGGGTAAAACTGGATAACACCGAGACCAGACGGGCTTTCTCCGGGGACCTCTACGAGGAAGTGTTAAGAAAAGGGTAGAGTTTCCTTTCTGGTGTGGGTGGAGGTCAGGCCAGCCTGGGGATGGATTAAAGACCTTTAAACGTTCCTTCCAGTCCCAGAGCCACATCCCAGGGCCCCGTGAAACCGCTAGGTCACTGCAGCACAGAACAATCATGGTTTCAGCCTCAGGGAGAGAGAAGCAGGCAGAAGACGGTTTGCTGTGTATTCAGGGAGATTGGCAAAGGCTAATTATGCAAGGGTGTGTGCAGGGGAGGACGGCTGCAGAGGAAGTTCTGGGAGTTCAGACATGAAAAGATGATCAAGACAGCGTGACGGATTTTGAATTTGGAGCAGCAAAGTAGTACAAAGGAATAGACTTCCTTGGCA